TCAGAGCAGGCTACACCTTAAATAGCTGTAAGACAGGTATGTAAGTAAAGTTCTATCCACTTATACTGGTAGTGCGAATCCTTAAGGCCGTCGTCCATCTTCGTTGTCTTCCGTCGTACCTGTATTTCTTCACTCATGGTGTCAAGACCATCAATTTGTAACCTAAATGGGGCTTCACAGTGACGCTGAGGATGTTTTTCGAAGAATGCAGGAGGAGATATTTTAAATGCACATCTAATCCATTGCAACGTACTAGTCCCCTCCGAACTGCATTCTTAAACTGTTACGACGGCTTCAAGTTCGCACTTGTCCACGTGCCCAAATCTTAGAGAGTTTTCACCTTTTTAATACAGTAACATTAATAAAAATCTCGGTTCCTCGGAGATACGTCTAGGCCGGTGCTAATGTGTAGGACCACACATTTGGAACCATTAAAATTATAAGGCCACCTCGTTGACCAGATACTCAGTTTCTCGATACTCAATTGCATCCTTTTTGCGGACTTCACAGCCTTAATCCTGTAGGCAGTACTTGACCCAGATTAGGAAGAGTAGTGGGACCGGAACTGAACCCTAAGGGGCATCACTCTCAATCTTTACCCAATCTGAGGGAGAACTGCCAACGAAACCTCTCTGTACCAGTGAGGACAAAATAATAATAAATATAAGAAATAAATAAATTTTATATTTAAGGCCCAAGGGGCCCTTTCCTTATTGAAAAATGCTGTCGATCCATTTGTACATTTTGACTCAAATTCCCATGTCCCAGATTCTTTCATGAAGGGTCGGGAGACTTGAGTGCTAGGATATGATTCAACTTTCTTTTAGCATTCCATTCGAAGCCATGCAAGGTTTTGGGGTGTTCGAGTGAGTTTCGTAATATGCTCAGTTTGAAATTTCTTCGAAGCCCTGCGGTGTCGCCTTTGTAGACGTTTCTTTGTTATTTTATTCCCGTAAATGCTTTCTGGTGCCAGTCAGCCAATAAATTTTCCGACACGATTTATTTGAAAAAAATTTGTTTGAAGTTCCGCGCTTATGCGAACGGCTAGTGTTTGTATTTCTCATAAAAACACAGTGGTGGTCAACAATCGTCCGCAGTAACGAAGTAAAAGTTTTTAAATGGTCATGGATCGTGCCGAAAATCAAAGACTTATCATCTCATGTATTCGAAGTTACCTTTCAAGATATTCTTCTCCCACTTATCACGCAGAATTATTTTGGGAAACATTGATTACGCGAAGTAAAAGACAATATGGTCTCTTGACGCTATTGGTGGTAGGTTATCTATTTGAAGCACTTTCTCCTCATCCTTCTTCTCCCTGCTAAAGACAACATCCAGAAGATTCAAATGTTCGCCATCATGAGTCCGTGTTCCAAAGAGAAACTTGCCCATCGCTGACTGAATCAATTTTTGATTAAAGTTAGGTGATTAGCACTGCGCGGTCCATGCCTACCAGTCTATACTAAGGGCATTAAAATCGTCCACGATTATTGCACCTCGATTCGATAGACTTAATTGTGAAACTTTCGCAGTCTCGGTGGGAGTCGAACCCACACACCAGGGAGGGCTTTTGCGCAGCCAACACTCTACCATTGAGCTAAGAAGCTCAGCCTGCGCCGTCAGTTGAATCACACTTGGATCGATTTGCTTGCCCAGCTTTACTGCACGTATGGAATCCACCAATAGAGACACAGTAAGCTGACTGCCAGGTAGGATTTCCCAAGTAATCATGTAGGATCCACATGTGGAATATTAGCTAACCTTAGTTGTTAGGGGTTTGCCAGATTTCAATAATTCGAGTTAATCCTTTCCCTGGCTGGAATTTTACAGTACGGCTACGAGAAGGAGATTATAGTGAGACGTCTGGTGGACAATATGCCACCGATAGCGCTAGTGGCCGAAATTAGTTAGTGGAAATAGAAAAACCTAACATTTCCACTTACAGTGGTGGATTAAGGTCTTCGGCGATGGCAGTTAACTTAGAAGTAGAGTAAACCATAACACATTAGCAACTG